CTGCAACTACCACTTTAAGTTACTATCAACAATACTACTCCCACTTGGTTCGTCTTTATTTTACTTAAAAAGAAAAAGGTAGAAGAATCCTACCAGAACATTATTATAATAAAATAATTAAGTTTAACGTTGTACTACTTATTTACTTATATATATATATATATATATATAAGCTTCAAGTGGAACACTTATTTTCACCAAAAACACAAAAGATTCACGCGAATAACTTTATTTTATCAAACAAATATATAAAAGTTTCAAATGAAAATTTTTTTTATTACAAAGCTAATCAGTTCATATGAAACACTTTTCCATGAGAAAAAACAGATTGCGTGGACCATTTCTTATTGCAGAGACAAGTAGAAATTTTATGCAAAACACTTTTATTACTAGAACATATATCGGTTCTATACGAAACTATATACTGTTTTTTCAGCCTACTCATTTCATTATTTATATGTATGTGTCTTAAACTCTTATTTTTTCAAAAGAAAATTGTTACGAATAATATTTTGAAGCGCTAGATATTGGCCTCTGTTTAGTGAGATATATTGGATATCTCTTGTTAACACCCAGCAACTAACACTTGAATTGTGTCATTACTCACCTAATAGATATATAAACTTACGCACTGCGACTTGGTCAAATTAGAACACTGATTTTTTTTATTTTATTTTTTTTGTAAATCTCGATATGATAATAGTAAATATATATGGACACATTTGGAATACAATTCACACACTTCCTAATCCTACACCAAGTTACACTTAACAATAGCTGACCAAGGCACTTGATACACGTTGATTCTGTAGTCACTGATTACAGCAATTAACTCCGCAAACGAAGATAAGAATGTCCTCGATGTTAGCAGAAAATACTGACTATTGGAATGTTCTCGATGTTAACAGAAAATATTGATCATTCTGACTTCTTACTGGTAATTTGTAAGTGGGAATAACGGACAAAAAATTCAATGAAAAGTGTCAGTATTTGTCCTCAAAGAGATTTCAAAAAGTCTTCATCTTCTCAGACTCTTCCCATCGTTGGGTGACTCTTCTAAAGCCCTTCATTTGTACCCTCTCTTTTGAATATCCGCAATCTGCCAGTGCTTAGCGTCTTCCAAACATTAGAATAATACAACCACTCAGATGAAACATTTGTGAGCGAAATATTTCGAACTTATATAATAATGGCTAAAACAGAATATACAGGTAAAACGGACTAAACATAGAAGCCAATGAAACGTTTCACTCAATAAATTTAATATAATCAAGTATACAGTCTTATTGTTTGGCGTTCTATACACGTTCATTTTGCTAACTATGATGCCTTAAAATTTCGTTGATTTGTTGAGGCCTACACAGTTGAGAAAGTCAGCTTAACTTCAACCTCTGTTGCTTCTGTTTGTCATATTTTCTTATTATCATATTTTATCCGTTATTGCATTGGTTTCAACTTTCATAAGTTGCGAAATTAAAATCTAATGCTTGGGAAAGTTATCAGTTTCAGCAGCTGTGTTATTTACTTCACATACATTCAGTAATTGGAACAAGATAACTGAAAATTGTTAATTTAAAAAGGGGAATATAGGGGTCGTCAAAAAAGCTGAGAAACAAGTTGAATCAAAATATAAAGATTATATTTTCAAGCCTACAACTAGGGACTCAAAAAAAATCTAAACAAACTAGGCTGAAAATAGTGTCTACGTTATTTTCTCAAGCTACAAATCCCTATTTTGACTCCATGTCTACAGTACTTATCAGTTTAGTGGAGTCGAAATAGAAGTTGTAGCTTGAGAAAATAATGTAGACACTATTTCCAGCTTAGTTTGTTTACTTTTTTTTGAGTACCTAGTTGTAGACTAAAAAATTTAATTTTTGAATTTTTTTATTCAACTTGTTTCTCAACTTTTTTGACGACCCCTATTTCCCTTTTTTAAATGAACAAGTTTTAATCATCTTGTTTCTTGCGTTTTTTTTTATGTCCATTTATGGAGAACAGTTGACTGTTACATGTTTTTCAATATTTTACTGCTGCATTGGCTTTTTTTCCACCCAACCAATATTTACTGAGCCAGGTAGTTTTAAGCCCGAGGTTTTGTGTACACACGCATTTAACATGCGAAGTACGAAAATTAGTGGAATAAATCAGCACTCACAAGAGTAGAGAAATGTACTATGGTAATCGTCTACTGTTAAAAAAACTCACTGAAATAGCCGCAGATAACCGCGTGCAGACAAAGTACAACAGCAAACTCGAGAAATGACGAATCCTCAACATGGAAGTTTCCAATTAATGCGTTATAAATTGCACAACTTATTTTCCAATTAATGCGCATTAGTAAAACACCAGATTTTTTCAATGGCGGAAAGTGAAGGACTTTAAAAAATTCTTCAGGGCAAAAAAAACGAAGGCGCGTTAATTAATTTTAAAACTACCTTATGACATACTCAATACTACATTCATTAGTATTATTGTCCAGGTTTTAGTGAAATATTCGTAGCCGTTTTCTCTTTAGCGGCTTGAAAAATTATCATCATTAATGATAATACTGGAAACATTGTTATAACTATACATATTGTTTACTTTAATAAAATGAAGCGTTTCCAACTAATATAATGGTGCTTAAATGGCTTCTACATTCCCGCCTATTCACTAAAATTGTAAAACATTCTCGAGTGTAAGAATCAACACTATCTGTGTGTACGTAAACATTAGTGTAGCGTTTATATTGTTGCGTAAGCTGAAATTTCGAGAAATTCTCCCCACGCCTGTAAATATTACCAACGCGGCGCGCCAAAATACAATATATATTACTGGTCTGATATAATTGGTGTGCTATTAACTTCCGAAGCTATAACTATGATTGTTATAACGCTTATTAATCAAGAACTTCAGATATTTGACAAGGAACGTTTATAGATTTCAAATATTATAAACCATTTAACTTCAGCCGATTCACATCGAATATTAGTATTTTTACGAAAACATTATATAACTTCAGCGGGGAATAACTCGGGGTTTGGCCGGCGAATAACACAGAGCTAAGTAGCTCCCTGTTAAGTGAATTGTACCTAAATCAACTCGAAATTAATTCGCTCATCGCAAACCCTCGATAAGATATCAAGGAAGTACCAGACCAGAAGGAAGACTTTACATTGTTTGTAAGTTTGTATATCTTTTGCACATAAAGCATTATTTGTAATAACTGTTATTGTAAATTGTATTGTTGTTTGTATATTAAAATATATTTATATAAAAAAAAGAAACTGTGTGTATCAATCTTGTTGGCAAATATGATAAATTGGATACATATCGGCATTTATTTAACTACTAAATCTAAGTTATAATATAACTCAGTTTTAGGCAATTCGAAATTATAATACGTTATGTAATAAATTGGAGATTCGTCCGGGATAAATTATAATACGTAACAAAATACAAACTTAATTTACCATTGGTAATACTTATATACTTGAGTAAGGAAGCACATTATGCTAATGTAATAATACGCTGGCAATTAACGATTTAAAAGCATAATAAAGTGATTTATTTTTGGGGTACACACTACTGTTCGATAGAACATTGGTCTGTCTTCCCACAAATAACTCACTTTATTATGCTTATAAACTGTTTTTGCCAAATTGTTATTAATCTCTGTGAACTTGGGGAATTAATGTGAATCTTTCATCAGATTATTATTAATAGATTTTATTTAGCGAGTTACAATAAGCAGAAAAGTTTTGTAAAAGCGTCAATTGTAAATAATTTATCATAATTATACCGGGTTATTAAAATTTTGTGATCCATACGTTTTTTGTTGTTGTTTTTTGGTTGTTTGTTTGTGTTGTCGTTTGTTTTGTTTTTGTGAAACAGTAGCAAAAAAGATAAACTGGAATTTCTTAAAACAACTTTTAGACTGAAATTTACCGTTATTGTACTTGTGCTTACAGGAATGCTTGACAAGTCCATAGAATACGTTGGCAAGATAAGCTTTATTTAACATAAAGGAGTTTTTTGTTGTTGTTTTTTTTCATATACAAATAAAAAATGTTTACAGTTCTTAACGACTGCTGGAAGACAAATAATTACCCAAAACTTTTATTGTTGTATAATCAATAAAATCTTTATTAAACTAAGCTTTCAGGCTTATAACAACTATTCTTCAGAAGAATAATATAATAATAATAAAACGAGAGAGTTACATATATCCGAGGCTTAACGTGTTTCGTCGTATGTTCTTCCTTACCTTGTATTTTCGCAGCTCGCTATACAAAATACACCCGTACTTAGGAATGAAAATTTCTGAAGAATTTATGGCAATACCTCGTATACATGCATAACGAATATTTGC